AAATAATTTTAGGAGAAATGGATTTACGATATTGACCTAGGAGAAGTTGGAACATGAACAGGTTTATGTTTTGTGTGTGTGTGTGGATTATACTAACTTATAAGGTGGTTTTTGGTTTTTGGTTTGTTCGGTGTGTGTCTTTTAACTTTATTTTTACTTAGATGAAAAGGTTTAGGTAGAGAGGGATATTGGAGAGACATAGAGGTATGTGTGTAAAGTGAAGGTGGTTGTTCATAACGGACACAGCTGGTTCCACAAAAGGATTAGGACCGTTGGATCTAGATTGCTGAATTATACTTTATTTTTATTACTACGTGTTGAAATGGAGAATAGGATGTACCAGATCTAACACCTGGTATATCATCCAACGGCTGTAAATGAGTTTAGAATAACACGTGGATGAACATGAAGACCCTCCGCTCCATGTCCCGACAAAAGCTGGTGTATATTATTATATCATTATTATTATTATCAAACATCATCGTTTTTTTTATAAAGGGTTGTTTGTTCTGCTAATACTTATTGGTTTTTTTTCAGATCTAGATCCAGAAGGTGCAAGCAAGCAAGGTGGTTATGATTTATGAACATGATCTTCAAAACACCCCAAGGATTTACAGCAAACCTCGTATAAATCATATTTAGAAGTGTATCATATGAATATTTAAATATAAGCATTAGCAAAATGGTGAGATCATAATAGCAATAAATTACTCAAAATAAGAAAAGTTCAATTTGCAGACACAAACACGGCACTAGAAGATGATGGCACACATAGTGAATGAACGTATAATAATATAAAATTGAAGTTAGTCTTATCTTAGGTTAGTGATAATAATAACAATAAATTTAGAGGAAAGAAAATATGGGGATGTCACGCACTCACCGTGAGCTCCTGATTTAATTCGGATGAGACGTACGCGAGAACCTACCGATTGGTGAGTGGACAAAAAATGAGGTTTATGGTCATTATAAGTGAGTATATGTATGTATGTGTATTTAGCACAAATACAGCAAAATATCTAACGTCAATGCCACTTAAATAGACAGAATCATCTAATTGGCTCGCCAGCAGCAATCACATCATCAACACCACAATTTATTTAAATTATAAGATATATGGAAAGTATCGCTTATCAGAAAGAAGAAAAAAATTGGAAACTAGTACTATCATTTTAATGGTTAAAACTTTTAAACAAGGTGGAGTGATAAGGTGACTTTGTGGTTTGGAAAAGAACATGAGTTGAAGTGGTAAACAAGTGATCTAGCTATCTAGACCTCAACAGATACATGATTTCAAAACTCAAGTCAATCGGAATTTGAAGAAAATTATCCCAACTCGACATCTCGCACTTGTTTGATCATGTTTACTTTTTATTGTCAAATTTAATCTGTTTTAAGTCACAATTATCTTAAGATCAGGTAAATAAAAGCTTAAATTGTGATACCATTATGATCTCAATTTTGATATGAGGTTGAATTGGAGTTGAATATAATCTTAATCACAATTCATTTGCAAAATCTTAAAGAAAATTGATGTGAGGCAAACTAAGATAGTCAATATTTTGTTACAATCCTAACTTATGGTGCGATTTATCACAGTCGCACCACAACATTACGTGAAAACCTAATATTTCATATTAGATGGACTTCAAATCCATATCAATCAGACATTTTCTTACTCTGATGTCTCAACTCAATATACAATCACTAAAAACCTAATATTTCATATGAGATTGATTTCAAATTCTTATCGTCTCGTCGGTTTCTTACTTTGATGTCTCAACTCAAAGTACAAACACCTATAATTCTTTAAAACCTTAGCTGATGTCGCGATTCAATCACAATCTCACAATCAATTTTTTCCCCAACTGAAATCGATCACTAAATCACAATTGCATAAATTAGCAAAAAGAAAATACACAAAAAGGTTTCATTCAACAAATCACATTACAAGCACTTTTTATTTTTCATAAAAAAACACTTGCTTAGTCTTAACAAATATACTTTATGTATGGAATCAGGCATGTCAAAAGAGGGAAAAGTAAAGAAATGTGAAATACCTGAGAATCCTCGGAGGAGGTTGCTGCGGAGAAGGAGCGCGTTGACGGAGACTAGGATACCCGTTACTCTGATTTTGAGTATTTTGATTAGTATGATTACGATGATTATGATTATGATTATTGATAAGACTATTATCAGTTGCAAACCGGTTTGAAGCATCTTTCTCGGTTCTAACTACTCTCTGGTCCACTCAAACTGTTGTCCTCTGAACCGGGTTTAAAGAGTCTTGTTTAACCTGTACCTTCATAAACCTTAATCGCTTCTTGTTCCCCCATTGCAACCCTAAATCTGACATCGTCGATTGTCTGAATCCATCCAAGCTAGCTCTCAATAACAAGGAACCAGACCCATCCAATTCTAGGTTTTTGTCTCTATCACCATCTCTCAAACTAGAAACCTTGTTGCTGATTTCATGGTTGTTATGTGGCTCCTTATCCATCACCCCTGTCATCATTATCATCAAAGTTTTTTTTTTTTTAAGTAAATTTCAATTATTATTATTATTACTGTAAACCTAAAATATAAAGTTCATATTTCAATTAACTTGAAATTAGAGTTTGATTTTTATTTTATAATCTGCAAAAATACAATTAGTCGTGGAAATTCATGCAATAATTGAAAGAAAAAAAACAAGAAAAATAAAATTAATAAAAGAAATGAAGAGAAATCCATGCAATTTTTACTTTGATTTTGTAAAATACAAAACCATACCTAAAATCCAACTAACAATGACATTTCAAAGCTTCGATCTACGAACTTTTCTTCACAGAATCCAAAATTTCGAAAATTTGCAGCGAAGTGTGTATCTGCATCCAAAAAATAAATAATAAAAAATAAAAAAGTTAACATAGAAGCCAAACAGAGAATAGAAGAAGAACTATGAAACTGTGAATATTTCAGCACCTTCAAAAAATGCACTCTTCATAACATAATTAACTTGATAATTACCAAATTAGAAATTGAAAAGTTGTATAATTATAATTTAGATAACAAACCTTATAATTTAGGTTGAATAAATTAGCAGATCCTTAGCTTTAATTGTTCAGTGATTAAAATTAAGATCTTGAATTATGAAGTTAGGTTTTGAAGATGAAATGGTGGAAGAAAATTGAAAATTGAAAATTGAAAAAATGGATTGTTGTTTTTTTTGTTCTCTTTGTTGTGATGAAATGAAATGAAATGCTCTGAAGAGAGATGGTTATATACATGTTGTGCTGCGCTATGGAAAATCCTGACCGTAGATTTTATATCTTGTGGTTGTTGAGTATCGTTACTTGAACCATCCATGGAAACCCGTTACGTCGTTTGTGAGAGCCTTGTTGCCGTTGGTTTTATCTAAACGGAATATGCAGAACCGTCAGATCCTTTGTGTTAATTTATTGTATTTTACTTTCTTTTTTTGTTTTCATATTTGCAATGTGTTTTAAGATACACAAAGTGGGCTTTGTGGATGGACATGGGGTAGATCATGTAGGCTTCAGCTTGTAGGTGAAAAAAGATAATTTTTAACTAGCACCAATAAAATCATACTGGCAACCCCATATATTTTCTTTATACTTAAAATATATATTTTATTTTTTTCATTAATCACGTGTAATTTTTTAAAGTTTAAAAGAGATGCATTAATCATATAAAAAGTTTTTATCATCTTCATCATATCAATCTTTCTCTGGTTTTAAGGACTCATTCTCATCTTTTGTCCTTCACGATTAGATGATTTCATCCTTTTAACATAGTCTTTCAAGATTTGTTGTCCAGGAATTTCAGAACAACCACCATTATAACCTTCCACCTGTCATAATTTGAGTTATTTAACAAAGATGGTTTGTTGTTGTATCTTTCTTTCTTGTCTATAGTACCAGAAAGTATTCTCCCTGAAATTCACCCAATAAACAGAACAAGGTGTCAACCCTGATGCCAATTGAAATTTTGACACTTTAAAAACAGATGATAATATTGATGTTCCACCACCAGAAACAATGGCAGGACAGATGTTAAGACATCAGTCTGCTGACATAAAATATTTCTAAGATAGTAGATTTTGTAGAAAGTAAATTGCTGAAAGATAAATGACACAATCAATTGATTTGATTATGTGACATATATTATATGTATTAACATCTGTCATAATATATGTCTTTAATGTAGACTGGCCAACATGTTAATACATATCACACAGCATCTTAATGTGAACCATATTTTAGCAAAATTGTTGCCAATCCTAAAACTATAGATCTAACAAAGTCAATCCCTTCCAAGAACTTGTCCCGTTATTTTTCTCATGTTCTTGGAGAAAGACTAAGTAATCATCTAGGATAGCATTTCTCCTTTATCTAGTGGATCTCCATAAAAGTATTGGTTCTTGGAACACTTGTTCTTAAGGATCTTGAGTTTGTTCTTCATGAATCACCAAATCATCATGAGTATGAGGAAATTCAACAATGTCTTGTCGAGGTTCCATACTTTCTTGATCAAAATCAACTGTATGAATCAGATCTGTAATTGTTATTGATTCTTCCTCTAAAACAAAGTCTATAACCTTATTCTTTCACCCAAACTTAATATCCTTAAATAATGTGGTTATTTGTCTCAAAAATTGAGCTTAATTTGGGATCATAAAATTTGTAGCCCCTAGATCTTTGAGAATAACCAATAAAGTAGTTGATCATTATTCGAGACACCAATTTCTTTTCATTTGGCCTATAAGGTATTGTCTCAACTGGACATCCCCATACGTGAAAATGTTTCAAACTAGGTTTTTGCCCAGTTCAAAGTTCATAAGGTGTTTTAGCAGTTGCCTTGGTCGACACTGTAACACCTCATTTCTACCCGACGAATATTATTAAAATCAGAGTTACAAAATTTCGACATACAAATAGGATGCTACACTTACAACTTATAACAATGGTATTTAATCGCATGTAAAACAGATATATAACACATAAAACCTAGATGAACCGATAGCAACGTAAATTAGTCTTTGAAAACAAAACAACTTTTATAATTAAGCAGTGGAATCACAATTTTCAACTCAAATTACATAACATCTTTGTCCAACTGAAAACAACTTCAAAATAACAAGTACTTAATAAAAACAACTTAAAATTCAGCAATAGAAGTGAAATCAACAATAAAGCAACAAGTGTTTATCCCCCCGAGTGTTATGTATCAGAGCAACGACACCGACTCGAACTAATGAAGGTAAACAACCTTCACTCTAGATTACCTGCACGTTACCAACATATGGGTAACATTCAAACAAAAAGGATGAGATATCGAACAATATAATCAGGTGTATGATAAATAATATATTAGAATTAGTTCATGCAAAATCATCGCTTCATAACTTTTAAATGACATCCATTACGACTAAGTCGTCAACATAATATTATAACTAATTCATCATCACAACAACTCAAGATGCAACATGAAATGCGACTTATTACGATGCACATGCATGTGGTACCTATAAAGCATAAGCCCCAAACTTAATATTTTCCAATTAATAGAGGCATCAACAAGGCATATGCCTTCAACTTCAAATCTTGTCAATCCAGGCCAACTTACATAGTATGAGCTCCCAACTGTAATGCGATGTATGCAACAACATGGTGAATATAACAATAATGACAACAACAATCCAACACTGTATTTACAGTGATTTCTGGTAAACAACTGCTAGTCCTCCAAACTATCGAATAATCTTACTTACTGTTATTCAATCTCTCTGGTAACTCGCAGGATCGACTAGATTGATCCTAGGATGTATTGGTCATTAGGGTAACTCTCATGATAGAACTGGTATTCATGGTTGGTATTTGGAATGTTGTGTAGGTGCTTAACTTACTTCGATTACTCTATTAAAATCTAAAGGCATGATCAAGTAAATATGCGCGAAACCAAATTGCATGAATGAAGTTCAATTGTAAAGACATGTAAAAACTGCATAAAAACATGTAAATGACTTCGAAGCATAAAAACATGTAATGTAAAAGATTCTCTGGAATGTAAAAGATTCGAAATATGAAGAAAGCGTTTAAATGCAAGAAAACAGTAAAATGACTTTAAGTGAAAAAGGTGTTCGAATGATAAAAGCTTAAAGATAAAGGCATGAAATGTACAACAGTTTCTGAAATGTAAAGTATTTGAAGTGAGAAGAAAGCATTTAAAGGTAAGACATTAGTAAAAAGACTTCGAATGAAAACATTTTAGTGCAAAAGCTTTTGAATGGTATTGACATGAAGATAAAGGAAAATACTGGAAATGATAAAGAGTTTTTATTAAATCATAAACACTTGGTGTTATCATACGTACATTGCTCGTGCATTCGTTTCCCTAGCCATGTGGTAATTTGAATGTTTACTGAGTTTTTTGTACAACAGATATGACACACGAAATCCTAATGCTAAGACTTCTATTTATACTACTTCGACCATAACGGTCTTGCTATAAGATTCTGCCACGTTCAGAATATGCAGAGCAATGCCTCTCTCCTGCTTCCACGCGTCTTCGAATTCTCCAGCATATATTTCAAATTTCGAACATCCCGCTTGCATTTGAATTTCAAATGTTTTGGCACTGCTTCGTTTCGAACGCATTTCTTAGACACAGCCTTGTTATCATTTCGAGGCTTCTTTGAATATATTCTCATAACTGTCACTCGAAGCCCCAAACTTTGATATGCCCATTCGAAACACTGCTTCTACCATTTCGAAACATGACATTTTGCTTTATTTCAATCGAAACGTACAATTTGCTTTGCTTCTAATAATATCATCAAAATCTTCAGCCAACAAAATGCCCCTTTAAAATATGTATTTCGATTCCTTTGAGAAATACTTATTTTAAACATATACACAAGATTTTGATGCGACCTTCGAATCATCGTAACATTTATTGCACATGACTCTAGTCACGTCAATCACAACGCTTTTCAGATTCCTTAACCGCCTTGAACCATTTCACAGCATGGTGCAGTTACAAAACAATGATTAATATTTAATCACGCCTATTACCAATATTAACTTTACGCAACCTCCTTTTCAAACCAACCCACGACTACCACGTATAACAATCTTACTCAGTGGATGCTTAAACTTCCACATTATAAAAACCCATCAACTTAGTCTTTTCTTTTCTTCCCACTTTCTGAATCTTTTCTCCCTCTTTTCTCACCGAAACCCTAAACTTCCAACATTCTTCCAACAATGTCTTCTTCAACTTCATCTCAACTAAAAAAGGCTTCCAAAAAGAAAGGAAAGACCACATGAACCACAATGGAAAGCAAGGTTGGCACCTACCAAGGTCAATCTGTCCTTGTTCCCCAGATGATCTCAAAAGAGAAAGAAATGCTTTATGCATCCCAGGTACTAATTCCTACTAACGTTGCTGGCAAGAGGTTAGCTTTAATGGGCCCTCTTACAGTTTTTGAAATTTTAA